CCAGCCCCTCACTCGCAACCGCTCTGGGCCCCCACAGCCCCCGAAGGCCATGCTAGGCAGCACTGCCACCTACAGGAGCCACGGCCTGGGGGTCCTGGCCCGGACACCTCAGCTTTGCCCTCGCCGCACTGAGAAGAGGCCCACGCAATGTGGCAGCCTCCCCCTGCGCCACTTCTTCACAGGCTGCACTCGGGCAGGGAGCTGCAAACATCCTCACCCAAACGTGTGACCCGCTCCACCCGCAGACATCGGTCCCCCTCCCAGTGTGTCCCTGAGCAGGGGCCACCTCGTGGCCCCCCAGCTGCAGGCTCATCTGGTGGCAGCCTCCTCCCATGGCTGCCGGCCAGGGAAGAGGATGTTTAGGGGATGAGTAACATCCTTCCTGGCAAGGCCTCTGCCCGCTCCTGGAAGCGTGCTGCGGGCACCGGGAAGCTCAGCCCCTTCGCCTGCCTCTTGCCCCAATCAGCTGGGGAAAGAAGCTAAGAGCAGGAAGAAACTTGGGGATGGGGCCAGGGCAAACGAACCCAGATGAAGCCCGTTGAATCGGCAGGAGTCATCCCAGGTGCCAGGGAGAGGGGAGGGAGGGTGCTGCGTGGCAGGGCAGGAGGCAGCCAGGAGGCACAGGTTGGGGGAGGCAGCCCAGGGGCCCCCTCTGGAGCGGGGCTGGAAGCCAGAGCCTGGTTGAGCGCTGCCAGAAGCAGCTTATTTTGGAAAGGAGGCATCTTGGCTGAGTGCTTGGTGCGTGGAGCTGCTGATGCTTGGGAACAGGACGGCTCTCAGAGAGCAGGTCCCAGCTATGCCTCGGGGGCCAACACTGCTTGGCTTCAGCCTGGGGCTGAATCTGCCCCAGCGCAACCAGGACTGGATCCCTAACTCCTGAGTCACCCACTGCAAAGGGGTTTGGACACCCCAGTCACAAGCCAGCACAATGTCCAGGCCCACAACTCACCCTGAATGCAAGAGGAGCTGACTGGGACCCACCAAGCAGGATGCACAGAGCTCTTGCCGGCTCTGACCCACAGGGCTTGGTACAACCTCAAGCCTCAAATGGGGAAAGCGAGGCACACAAGCTGGTGGGGGCACTTTACCCCACCATTAGACCTTGCTTCCCCCACCAAGAGCAGTACCAGCCCTGCTATGCCAGCAGTGCAGCAAGCCTGGCCCAGACCCTCTTGGTGCTTGGACCAAGGAACTTGAGGCAGCCTCCTCGCAGGCAGCGGGGTCTGGTCTGGAGCTGGAGCAGCGCTGGCAGCATGCCACGGCGTTCAGCCATGACCAGGGCTAGCGAAGGTGGGAGGGATTGCAGACTTTGCAGCAGAAACTGGACCTGCTTTGCCTTCCCCAGTGCCCTGCTGGCGTCCATGGGGCCGAGGAGGTGGCACACAGGCTGCCAGCATTCCCCATCCTTCCAGAGAGGGGCCAGAGAACACATACGGGGCAGGGGCTGGCTGCAGCTCACAGCCCCTCGATGTGTTCAGACACGGCTCGGGAGTTCCCTCCAACTGCAGGTTACTCATGGCTTGGCATGCCATGAATTTGGTCAGGTCTCAGCCCCTTTCCCGTACAGGGGCACAGCTGTGAACAGGCAGGCAGTCACATCTGCCTGGGGAAGGAGCAGCCGAGCTCCCTGCCGCGCACCAGGCTGCCCTGCCCTTCGGAGCCGCACACTGCAGCATTGTCGCCCAGCTGGTTTTTCCAGAGATGCATCCAAGGAACGAAATCAGATCTCAAGGGAAGGGAGCAGGCACGTTCCTGGCTGCACAGAGGAGCTGTCGAGGCAATGCCAGGAACTGGGGCAGCTGCTGGGCACCACAGCCCAGCCAGAGGAAAACCGAGCAGACAAGCTCCCGAACCTGGGCTGTGCCTTGCTACCCCTGACTCCAGGAGCTGCTGCTCCTTTACAGACCTTTGTTTGCAAATCCTGCGGCAGAGAAGCCCTGCCCTGGCACTTCCCACCAGCTTTGTTTTACACCATCAGATACTAAACAACCGCCCCGGAGGGCTGAACAGGGGGAAGGACCCTGCTGGGGGACCAGGGAAGGGCTTGCGGAGGAAAGCTCTCAAAGGAAAACAGAAAAGCAGTGTGTGGCGAGGGAGTTCCCTCCGCACGGGGAAGGTATTTTTGGTCAGGGCTTGTCTAGACTGGAGTAACCCACACTGCGTAAGTACATCAACACCACGCAGCAAGCCCGGGGCATGCAGGGCGCCTGCTGTTCCAGTCCAGGACAGACTGGGCTGCACTGACCGAGGGTTGGCAAGAGGCTCTGGAGGCAGAGCCGACCCCAGGACTGGTCATCCCACCCCCCGAGGGACTGGGGTGACCCTGGATGCTCCTGGGCCCTGTACCCCAGGCCTTGGTACCCTGCAGAGTCCGGGATGTGCCCGGGTGGAGGGAGCTTACAGCAGCTGGGACTGTGGGGGTCCAGCCGGGGTTCCCTGTGCCACATCAGCAGCTCTGCCCACCTCTGGCAAGCTGCGGGCAGGACACAAGTGGCCCCAAGCACCGTAGGCAGAGCCGGGATGCCCCCATCTTAACCCAGACCCCAGAACTGGGCAGGGCTGTTGCTGACACCATGGGCGACATGGTGGAGCAGACACAGCCCCGGCTGACCCTTGAGCCTGGTCCAGCCTGGCCCTGCTGGGGCACAGCCAGGGTGCTGCCTCCCGGTGCCCCCCCATCGCTCCCCAGCAGGGCAGAGGGCCCTGTGGCCCCCCGTCTCCCCAGCTCGGGGCCGCTGCCTATCCCTGCTGCCTGTCCCTGCCGCCGCCCCTCCCGCAGCAA